CAAAGTTCATGTGGTGCTAGACTTCGTTGTTCGATCTCCGCGGCTTTCGTTTGTTATTTGTCCTCTGTTCTTCTGATACTCAAAAACATTTGATTTTAAATTGCCAGACGTATTTAATGCGTAACTAGTATTGACGGAAATTCCGAGGGGGGTGAGGGTAATACCTGTTTTTTTATCGGAAATTCCGGAGGGATGGGGGGTGGGGGAAGAGTTCCAAAAAAATCGGTCAAAAATCGGAAATTCCGGGGGGACCGGGGGGTCATAAATGAAATATCCTCCGTGGTGGGGGTATGGATATTTTCTGGAACTACACATTCTTTTTCTCCCTACAATGTTTGTGTATTTAACAAACCATTTCCAAATAACCCAAAGCTTTCTGTTTTCTGTCTATATTAATACTGTACATGCACTTTTATTGCAGGATTCAAATATTTAAACAATTCAACCGATTTCGTATTCTTGTCTGTGGTGGTGATGGTTCAATTGGCTGGGTGATGAAAGAAGTAGACAACACTAATCTTACAAACAAGGTTGGTCAATGTACTCATAAAAAGATGTCAATGGCAGGATAATCACATTGTTGACAATCAATTGTGTTGTAGGTTCAGATAGGAGTTCTTCCTCTGGGTACAGGAAATGATTTATCAAGAGTTCTTGGTTGGGGAACTTCATTTGCTGATGATAATTCCCTTCCACAGTTCTTGCAACATCTAGAAAGAGCCAAAGCTTTGATGCTTGACAGGTAAATCGTTATTCTTGTCTGATGTAATAATAATGATGATGACGATGATGAAGTGTTTGTTTCTAGGTGGAGTATTATGACACAGGAATGTAACCCAACTTTACCACCTTCAAGGTCTTCCTCAACAGAAACCTTAGATGCTCCTGTAAGTCCTATTATATTGTTCCTTGGTCACATGACATGACATTGTTAACTTGCATCTACATGTAACTTTACATGTAACTTTATTAACGTTTTTTGGCCTTCTTCAGGAAATTGAGTATTGTACATGCTGTATTCTATATTCAACAACTTATTAATTCACAGTTTATGAATTCATTTATCAATT